AGATTGTTTTCCTCTTCTTTAAAAATGTTTTTCTAAAAATAAAACTCAACATAAATGTTTTAAGATTAGACTTGCAGGGAAACAGTTTAATTTTCACCATATGTTGCCACAGCGGTTTGTAGATTAAAAAAAAAATCTTTCCACTTAAACTACCAAAAAAAAAAAATCTAATATAAAAATGTATTCTTCCCAAAGCGTCTCCCTCCAGTGGGCCGTTTTATGGTTCCCAAATAAATCTTTAAGGTTGAAAGAAAGAGGAAAAAACAAAAGTACGTGGATGACGGAAAAGCAAGTCCTGCCATGATAATGTCCTTTATTAATATTATAGATGTGTAGTATGCTGGATGGATCAATCATATCCATTCACAATCAGGATTAAGAGAGCCTATTTTAATGAAAATCTATTAGTCTCTCACTTGAGACATGGATGCTGCTTAAATCAATAAACAGCATAAAAGAATACGACACAGGTTTCTAAATTAAAAAAAAAAAATCCCATCTATGAAATGTGTTAAGACGTCTGTAAAATCCTGAAACCCTCGATCGATACTTATAAATATTTAATGTTTTTTTTTAAACACAAATTGAAAACCATTAACACTGCATCCATTCTTATTATTAAAACAAATTGTCCTTGGAATTATGTGCTGTGGAAATGGAGCCAGATTGAAAGGGCATCCTCTGAAATATGTTTACTTGCTTTCATGTAAACCAATAAAAATCTGCAGGAGTCTGTAGCGTGAGCAGAAAGGTTTGATGTACAATGTCCATGATTACAGTCTCTGAATTAATCACGAGAGAGAGAGAGAGAGAGAGAGAGAGAGAGAGAGAGAGAGAGAGGGAGAGAGAGAGAGAGAGGGAGGGAGGGAGGGAGGGAAGGAGGAAGGGAGATGGAGAGAGAGCACACAGTTATCTACTCAACAAAATCTTGCTCTTCGGGTCAGCACTTATTAAAGCGTGGATTAAAACGATGATTTTTCTGTTTGCTTGTTTACCCCATTTCGACCAAAATAAGCTAAAGCAGGGGAGGGTGGGAGGAAATCGGTTTCGCCCTACGTCATACCATGAGTCAATGTACAAATGTAAATTCCTCTTATAAATATGAAATCCAATACTCTGCCTTGGAAGTGCTTAAAGCCTAATGCAACATTTAAACTAATTCATAATTATTCTTCTGGTATAATTCGCAGTAAAACCACAATGGTCAAGAGGTTCCTTTGAAAGAGGAATTAAAAAATATCACATGGATTGATACTCCGCTAAATAAACCCTCCTCTGCGGTCCGGACTGTCTCCTGCCAGGGTGCCTTGCTCGCAGATGCCCCCTCTCACGCGGAGAGGACGCAGTTAGGGGGCGGGCTCGGGTCTGCGCAGGGGAATCAGCCCCACAGGGGCGGTTGTGGGGCAAATGGAGAGAAGGGAAAGAAGTGGGGATGGACTAAACGAGACAACCCTCTTGTCAAGTTAGGAGCCCCAACAGGGCAGAAGGCTCCTGTCTGGTACGCCGGGGCAGTAGGGAGAGAGCAGGAGGATGATTTGGGGGCATGGAGCCCCGCAGGTGACCCTGCACTCCGGGCTGCCGGGGCAACCCACAACAGGCCACTGATGGCCCATCCTGCAAGGGGGTACCGGGGAGAACGGAGTGGCTTCTGCCACGACAAAAGATTACCCAGGGTGCTACGCTGAGCCGGGGGCAGAGAGAAGCTCCGAGGGACGCTGGTGACTTTTTAGTTTTGCGACAGGGTCCCATCAGCTCCGTGCCTGCAAGGGAATGGGATTTGGACGGCAGTTCCTTCTCTCTCTCTCTCTCTCTCTCTCTCTCCTTCCCTTTATCCCTCCCTCCGTCTCTCCTCTCCGGACCATTATCAGGAGCAGCAATAATTGTAATTCCTTTCTGAACCCGCCGTCAAAGTTTGTAGTGAGGTCAAAATTGTTCCTCACTTTTCCCCTCACCGGCATCACCTTGCCCTAGGTCCCCGCAAGGCCCGGGGCTGCACGAAGAGGGGGGATCCGGGGGCTCTCTCCGCCTCCCGCCGCTCCCTGCCGCCCGCTGGGACGGGACGGGCCCGTCATCCCTCGCAGAGATCCTCGGTGCGCGGAGCGCGCAGTGGGGCCGTGCGCGCCCGCAGGGCTGCCCGCACTGCCGCGCCCTCTGCCGCCTGCCCCGCGGCTCTCCGCGGCGTGGGGCGGCGACCAGATCCCCCGAAGGGTTCAGATTTGCACCGCTTCTTCTTCTTCCCTTTTTTTTTTTTTTTTTTTTTTTTTTTTTTTTTTTTTAATTTTTTCCCCCTTATTTGTTTTTCTTCTTTCCCTGTTTCCTCTCCCTTTCCGGTGCTTTGTTTTGCTTCTCGCTTTCGGAGTGAGTCAGAGGCAAGCTCCCCCCGGCTGCAAGGCTCCCCCAGGGTGGCCTCCCTGCTGCCGTCGAGGGCGGCCAGCGGCGGTGGCCCGCGGGCCACGGCGCAACTTGCGCACCCGGTGGCTGCCCCGCGCCGAGCTGCGCCCCGAGGGTTGCGGAAAGCGGGGGGCAACCAGCCTTCCCTCCAAGCGGCTCCGCGCTGCCGGGAAGCAGGAGGGAGGCTTGGAGGGGGGGACAGGCAACAGAGCTTTTTTTCCCTCTGTCTGAGGAGGCTTGAATTTGTCTGAGGAGGCTTGGATTTCTGCCCCTGTCCTCGGAGGCAGGAACCCTGGCGTTGGCAGGCGGGGCCCGGGGGTCTCCGGGAGAAGCGCGGCCCCGCGCTCGCGTGGGCTGCAGGCGTGGGGCTGGGCACAGGGGGGAGCTGCGGGGAGGGGAACGGGACGGGGGCGAGGGGGAGGAAAGGGGAGATCCGGCGGACTTGGTGCAAACTCCGGCAGCTCGAGGAAGCCGAAGCACACCGTGCCACTGCGGGGCTGGGGACGCAGAGTCAGTAAATATTTATCCTTGTTTGCTGCTTGCTGCGAGGGCGGCAGAGGGAGGCTGGGCATGGTGGGGATCGGTGCTGGTCGACCCGAGGGCTGGGGAAAGTTTCCACGGCGGCGGCTCAGCCCCGGTACAGCGCCTCTCCCACGCGGGAGCGGTGCCCGTGCCCCCGCGTGTCCGTGACATCCTCGTACCACGCCACCAGCGTGTGCAACAAACCACCACGAGCCCTTATACACGCAAACTGCATGACAGAGTCACAAGCAGCGTGTCGTCCCGGGATTTTTCCTCAGCCATACGTTACTTCTCCATCTATCCTTTGCTTCTATTATTTATGTGGTGCCGTGTGATATACATTAGAGCCTCGGATTTGATTGGCGTTTGCGATGACAAGACCTGTTTGTTAAGTTGTAAGGCTTCCTCGGCTTCCTCACTTGTTAAACGAACTCTGGTGGAAGGATGCCACCGAGACACAACAATATAATAAATGTCAGGGATATCCGCAGTGCCGAGATCAAATGATCAATCCTTGTCCTCTAGATAATCATTTTAAATTCGCACAGGGGGAGATTGATTTTTTTTAAGCCCTTTATTAATTGCTTCCTCGATTATTATTTTTTCTACTCCTCCTGTGGAGGTGTTAACTCTGGTGCTGGGGGCACCTTTGGATTAATTAAACGTATTTTTAGTGTTTTAATATTCTGCTAATTTTCAGAGCAGTCCCATACTCCCCGGAAAAGAAACAATGGCCCCTTGCTCCAACAAGGAGCCTGCTTTGGTTGCGATTCAGAGCAGAGGGTGGCGTGATGATGGGCTCTGATTATCTCAAACTCGAGGAGAGAGGGAACAAGGACGTAAAAAGCCTAATGACCAGAAGACAAAATTCCACCAAATACCGAATAACCCTTCTCGTTAAAGCCCGAGGAGAGGAAATAGAAATAAATAACTGGAAAGTCGACTCCGCGTGGGGATCAAAAGGTGCGGAGAGGTGCTGGAAATGCCGGCGCTGTTATCTGGAGACGAATTTCAGGCAGCTATTCGAGCACACAGAATAATAATTATTCCAGGAGTACAACAGAAATAACTGCAGCCTACCAAGAACAAAGTGGGGAAATTATTACCAGTTCTATCTTAAATCCAGTAGGGTATGTTTCGTTGGAAAAAAAAAAAAAAAAAAAAAAAGAACGGTTTAGTGCTCTATTTGTCTTGTAAAAACTCCCATGTTAACAAATTACCCTTCTGCTGCATGCAACTGGATAACGCTACATCCAAATGAACGTTTTAGATTTTAATTTTCCCCTACAGTATCTTCAGATAACATAATAACAGTAAACAAGAAAACAGATCCTGCAATGTTTACACGCATCTGAAGAGACCCCCTACCTATGGATACCCCCCACCCCTCCGGCTAAGCAACCCCCTCCAAATCCTCCGAACGCACCGACGCGGATCTCCGAGGCACCTCGCAACTAGTTTAGCTGCAGCACACGTCCCCTTCCGCACACCCACTCACCCACCCTCAGCCAGAACAGGCAGCACTTTTAAAACAGCATTTTTGTTTCGCCGGTTATCTTAACCATTTAATTAAGAGAAATTAGCTAAATAGCAAATCAGGTAAAATTTCCAATGATTACAACAAATGCACATCTCCGGCGTTTTATTCATTACCTTTTTTATTGAACACTCATTTTCTTTTCCTCTTGACAGCGATACATTTAATTGCAGGAGCACAGTTATTTGATTAGCTATGGGTCCGTTTTTACTCACAGTGTTGCCACGCACAGGATGTCCTTACAATCAATTAAGTCTTCCTCGACTTTCATTTCTGCAACCCATTTACAGAATGCAGATACCTATTTTCATGTTTTCCTCTTCCCCCCTCCCTCGCTTTTATTCCTCTCTCCCCCTCTCTCTCTCCCCCTCTTTTCCGCTGCTGCCTCTTTGCCTCCCTAAATCAAGGTGCAAAGATGCCAAAGAGTGATGAAATGAAAAGAAAGCCAATTGCTGGACTGAGGTGGGGGAGATAGCTGCTCGGAGTCCGCCTGCGACTATGGAGCAGTCAGTAATTGCTGGAGACAGGGAGAGCTGGGGGTTGGGCTGAGGTAGCCATGTATAAATAGTGTGATCTCAAATTGAAAGGCATAAATAACAGCAGGAGTGATCTAACCCTATACAGCCCATCTTCTACGTGCAAAAACAGCGTGCAGAGGACGGCCACATCTCCGATTGAAAACAAGTGGATCTCTGTGGATAAGATCATCGGGCAGCCATGGAAGAACTTACGGCTTTTGTATCCAAATCTTTTGACCAGAAAAGCAAAGAGAGCAGCAGCGGCAGTGGCAGCAGCAACAAGAAGGAGACGATCACGTACAGGGAAGTTTTGGAGAGTGGGTTGGCTCGCTCTAGGGAGCTTGGAAACTCTGACTCTAACCTACAGGACATGACCGAGACCAGCAACCATTGCCCGGTGCATCTTTTCAAAGACCATGTAGAGAGCGACAAGGACAAACTGAAGGAGTTCAACACGGGCAGGACGGCGGAAGGTAAGAGTGGGGCTGAGAGCCCTCGGCCCCGTGATTCCCGCCGGCAGCCCTGACCCCCTTCCCGGTCGTTCCTGGCTTTCCACAGCGGGGGCGAATCGGTCACCGCGACCCCGGTCCCAGCCCCGGCGGGACGAGTGGGATCGCCTCCTGCATCCTACTACCTTCCTCCTCCGGCCACCTCCCTCCCGCAGCGGCGGGAACATACGCTTAGAAACACGTACTCCTGCATGCATAACGTGAGCGTATGCCGTGAAAAATAAGTAGCCATGAAAAATAAGTCACAACTTCGGTCCTGCCCCCCGCCAGCCCCCGTTCACATCCGAAATCGATCCGGTGAGTTAGGCGTTCACTCGCTTCGGGGAAGGGGGCAGCGCAGGACGTCAGACGTTCTTGTCTATCTGTATATTTTCGTACGAGGAAACCTTGTCCGGGGAGTTTTAATGCCTTAGGAGACCTGTTCTTCCTGCTTTCGGGCCGTCGGGCTGCTGCTGCTGCTTTTAGGAGAAAGAGGGATGTAGAGAGGCTCTCCCTGAACATTTTGTCTTGTGTCGGTCAGCATATCCTACTCAAAGGCTCCGTCTGGAGAGGCGAAGGAAGAGAAGAGCCTGACTGTGGGGCAGCTGCCCGGGCCCGGTGATACAGAGCATCCCTGCGCCGAGAGCCACCATCGGGCCCGGCTGCCAAGGCCCTCGGTCCCTGCCTCTCTTCTCACCTGTGCCAAAGCAGCACTGCACCCCAGAGGCAAAACGCCATTCCTTCTCTTAGCGAAAAGAAAATTAAATTAAAAAAATATATTTTTAAAGGAAGCCAGCTAAAAATCCCGCACAGGCTCGCAGGGGAAGGGGAGAATAAGAAGGAGAGGGGATTAGAAAGTTGAGAAAGTGTCTCTAGGCAAGTTAGACAGGTGGACCTGCCTGGGGAGCTACTGGCTACTTTGGGGTAATAAAACCCGGTTAATAGGTTGGGGAACAACAACCAGCCTTTCAGCTGTTTCCAACTGTTTGATCTTGTTTAATATAACATTGGGCGATTTAATTTACAGCCCAAACGTTTATTTAATATCCTATTCTTTTCTACCTCCCTCCCTAAACAGAGGAATGAGGTACAATCACATATCTGAGTACCCGTATTTCTGCAAAAGCCAGTACCACTCAGCACTGCTTATTTTTCTTCTCTGACCGAGAGACTGCAAAATGAGAGTGTTCAGTTTAGAGGAATCATTTGAGCAGGAGACGATTTTAAAAAATGAAAGCAGGGCATGCTTCAGGAAGAAAAAATAGAATGGGAACGAACAACAAAAAAAAGCGCCCCTCTTTCCCCCTTGAATCGAAATTCTGGCTTGTATGTTTAGCTAATCTAATCTACGGAGAGGGACTGGGGGTGGGGATGGAAGGGAGGAGTTGGAAAGAGCTGAGATGCTTGTGACAGTTTAAATTCATACCAGGTTTCAGTCTAATTTCAACTGATTCCGGCGTGTGATTTCAGTCCCACCGATATGCTAGTTAATATTTTATACCTATCACGGACATGCTGTAGCCTCGGAAAAGAGACAGCTTTTGAACGCGCCTGATTTCCCCTAGACATTTCCTGGGTTAGCACCCTCGTCTTTTCATAGGGATTCCCCTTACAGGAGAAGTGCGAACAAAACGCCATTAAAACCAACCAGCGAACACCCCTTCACCGGAGGCCAGATCCTACCCAAAATTTTGTGCAGCCGGTATCAGCCCGGAGCCCGGAGGAACGATCACGGCCAGGGACAGTTTTCATTTTGGAAGTGAAAACGAGTGCTTCCTCTTGGGTCTGGTCTTACTTAAGCCCAGATGCAGTTCAGGATGCTCTATTACGTTTAATTAATTTACGATCTGCAGTTTATCATTTGCGTTTTGGGATGCCCCTAAGTATATAGGTTAATATATGTGCATGCACACATTTTTGTGTGTATACAAATATATATATATGTACATAATACATGTGTATTTGGTGAGAGAAAACGGATTTAATTCGGCATTGCGGATGCGACTCCCCCCCCCCCCCCCCGCCCCGGCTCCACACCACCCAGAAGTAAAGGCACGACAAAAGAGGTAGTGAGAGCAGGCTCGTCCCGGGACTGCCGGTACCTGCGCTGGATGCGTACCCGACGGGGCGCCCCAGGCAGGCAGGGGATCCCGGGGAACCGGTTCAGCCTATGGCAGGGTCCGTTGCTCTTCCTCTTTTCGTTAGCCGGATTTAAAGGACGGACAGTTCTCTAGGGCTCCTGGCATGAAGGAAAGGGGGAAAAAAAATTAGGAAATAATTTGCCAAAGCAAAAGAAATCCTCTTTCCCAAGACAAAAAAGGGGTACTGTTATACCCGCTGGCCCCCTAGCCCTCCTCTCCTCTGCTCGGGACAAGCATGCACAGTGGCCGCCTCCGGTCGCAAACTCTCCTCGAGCCCCGTCGGACTCCATGAAGGCTGAGAGGGTTCCTGCTCTTTTGGAGAGGCTGGGGGTCACCTACGGCTCTTGATTGTGCTGCTCCGTGCAGGGCCGAGCAGGGGTTTCGAGCCGCTGGCAAGTATTTTGGGGTAAGGAGGGGTGATAAGAGGGAGATGGACGGACGGCCTCCGACCCAAGAAAAGTTTATTTAACGAGGCGAATACTTTCACCATGGCTTTACCATGACAGCAGTGGGGAGCTTCTTGCATAACCCTCTTTACCTTGGGAAAAAACGTCGACGGAGAAGCCCTCTTCCCCCGCCTCTTCCCACCGCCTGGAGGTATCAGGGCGCCGGCGGTTTTCCTACCAACCCCTTCCCCGAACTGCCCGTGCCAACCGGCGGCGCGGCTTCCTCCTAACCCTGGAAAGAAAATAAAATTATATTTATCTCTATATTTTTTCTGAAGTGCTTCAGACGTGCAAGGCAGCGCGGCTCCCTTCCTCCCTCTGGCCCTCGGGTGAGCTGCCCCCTGCCCAGCGTGGAGCCTGCAGCGGGGCTCAGCCTGGTCTGGGGACCCCCAGCTCTGTCCCCAGCCCCTCTCGCCGCCCCGGGGCCGGCCCGGGGACCCCCGCCCGCTCGCCGGTTGTCCCCGCAGGTTGTGCTAAGTTTGGGGACGAAGAGAGGGGAGGAGGGAAACCCTGTGACAGGGAACTTCGGAGAGGCGTGAGGGGAGGTTCAATGTCGTTTTCCCCTTCTCCCTCCCGGCAGGTATCTACGAGTGCAAAGAGAAGAGGGAAGATGTGAAGTCAGAAGATGAAGATGGACAGACCAAGCTTAAACAAAGGAGGAGCAGAACCAATTTCACACTAGAGCAGCTGAATGAGCTGGAAAGACTTTTTGATGAGACTCACTATCCGGATGCCTTCATGAGGGAGGAACTAAGCCAGAGGCTGGGTCTCTCTGAAGCTAGGGTTCAGGTAAGAGAAAGGCTCTGTTCCTGGAAATGTCCTCACCTCACTTCCTAACTGCCAGAAGACCCTAGCACAGTGCCCCGCTTCCTGGAAAGCGGGGAGGTGAAGGCAGAGGCGACGTGTGACGGGGAAGCTGTTTGCAACTCCTCTGTACCTGTTCTGCCAAACAGTAATTCCGCTCAGGGTATATCTACCCGTGCCTTGAGTTTCCTAGGAAGTTGGTTTAACTTTCTTTTTTTCGTTTTTTTTTTTTTTTTTTTTTTTTTTGGGGGGGGGGGGCGTGGGGAGGTTACGGTCATTGGGTGGTGATAGTGTTGACAAGTCTCTGATAACTGAACAACTGCATTTTTTTTAAATTATTTTTTTCCCTTGCAAACGTGCCATTAACTCTCCTTTAATCCTCACTTTCTTCCCTGCTTTTTATTTTATGGGGCCGTTACGAAAAAAAAAAAAAAGGCCCAGAAAACAATCGCCGTGAATAAGGCTAGACGGTTTGGGTGCTGAGGGACGGGATTAGCCAGAGCCGGTGGAAAGGTGCCCGCTCTGATTCGCGCAGCAAGCCTATGAATGCATGGTACCCCATCTGGTGGAGGTTCCCCCTGTCCCTCCCATCCCGCTTCAGAGACAGCTAAATGCCAATTAGACTTCGAAATCTTGAAAATAGATACGGGTGCTGCAGTTCTGGGGCCACCAGAGCCGTCTGTTTGGGTGGCTACACATCGATTATTTTAAATTCCATTTTCAGTTTGATGCAGAGGAAAAATACTGCCTCTTTCTCCAGTCCAAATAGGGAATGTTTCCACAAAACAGATGTACAGATATTATATTAAAAAAACCCCAAACTCCTCCCCCCAAAAAACAATCTAGAAATAATTAGTAAGATCAACCTGTGGCTCTCCGAGCAGGCAGAGAGCGGGAGAAACGTGAAGGAAATCTCTTCTTGGTTAAAATTCTTGCTTGACCTAACAGACACAAACCAAGCTCAAACGCAAGAAAAGGTCACCAAGGCAACTCCACCACTGAACAAAACGCCTTCACACCCTGGAGATAAGATATGCCCATGTATATATCTGCCTATAGGTGTGGGTGGGTGGGTACACATAGGCACGGGTATGGCTCTATGGGCATAGGTGGAGGCCTCCATGCCCGATCTAACCCCCAGGGCACAGCGGGAAGTTAAGAAATATGGCCCCAAGCTGGAGTGGGGAGCAGGATCTCTTTGGCCTCCTCCTTAACCGTGGAAAGCAAACAGATAGTACACCATTCAGCCCGCCTTTGCCCGAGCAAGCCACCATCTCGCTCTAAACAACTGTCTCCTGGAGGCATGTCTTGAATTAAATGGAGTACCTAGGTTGTTTTCTTTTTTCTTTTTTTTTTTTTTTTTTCCCCCCCGAAGGCTCTATTCTCCGCTCAGCTCGTGTGTCTCTCAATACAAACCGAGCTGGGCGAGGGATGGTGCCGGGCATATGCCTGAGGAAGGACAGCTTGCAGGGGATATTGCAGGGGTTCAGGGTGCTTCTGGCCGACTTTCTCCTGGAAGATTGATCTAACCATACCATATAAATTAATGAAAAGATTAAACTTTTGCTGAAGGGGACATCAACTCTTATGTCATCTTCCCGGGTCTTCTTACTTGGGCTCTGTAATATCTTTCCAAGGCCTTGATGTACTGTTTCTATAAAAATAAATTACTTGTAATTGAATTCTGCACTCTTTCTTTCAAGTACTTTATTACTGAGGAGCACCTTAACTGGATGTTCATAGTTAGAGGAAAATTGGTGCTTCAAGTGCTTACAGATCTTAGCACAACAACAACAACAAAACAAAAAAAAATAATCAGGAAGAGATTATGAGAAATATAACTCCCCCGAATTTAATAATCTTATAAAAAGGGTTTTCATGGCTAAAAATAAAACTGTAAATGAAATAAAGAGTGAAAGAGGAAAAAATGGATAATTAATTAGGAAATAAGCAGAGTTGATATCCATCAATAAATGGAAGCAGAAAAAAAAGGGAGAAAAGGAAAAGGTGGGGATTTTGCCAATACTTTCAGAATTGTTCTCTAATTCCTATCTGAACCTCTTGTCCCTTGCTGCTAAAGGATATAGTTTCAATTTAGTGTGGAAATTTGCTGTAAATAAATTGAAGCTCCTATGATAGCTAGTCCTTATTAACCTTTTATTTTTAGTGTTGTACTGGAAACTCATATCACCCAGCTGTCAGGGTTATAATTGAAAGTTATGAGACCATAGTGAGGAGCAGGCAGTAATTCAATTACAACAAATATCTTTGGGTTTATGGTGCAGGGCTAAATTAAATGTCATTATTCACTGTCTGTAATGGAAATCAAAAGGAAATCAGATTAGAGCATTTGTGAAAGAAATCACTGAGTGATCCTTAATGAAGAAATAACTGTCTAAAACAGTGTACTGTGCTTTACTTAGCATATTCATGACTAATTGGAATTGATCGCGAATCACACCAAGCCTGATTTATTATCGCTTAACGCAGTGGCTAATTCATCACTTTTATTCTTCATAACCTTATTTTTTCGTAGCTGAAGGGAAAGGGCACTTCGTTTTCCAGATTTAAATGTAATTTCGGTTTGAAAGATGTTATGATTTGCAAGAGAAGTTGTTTAAACGCTGCTTAAATTCCTTCTGACAATTTACACTGCTTTGGCGAGGCGGGGGGGCGGGGGGAACACACACAAGGAGATTTCCTGCAAGGATTTACAACCGTAAAAAAATGTATTATTGTCGCCACAGCTTGATAATATTTTGCATGCTCATATTTAAATATATGTATGTATATAAATCCCTAACGGTCCGGTTAAAAGGAGAATCGATGCATCTTGTTGATATTTGCGTGTTGCTGGTAGGGAAAAATAAGCTTGTGCCGCGCTGTGCTGTACAGGGCAGCGATGCGGCAGTGATGCCCGGTTAGCGCGGGGAGGGCTGCGCTGGCGACAGCCGTCAGGGATCGGAACCGGTGGATGAGTCGGTCTGTCCGTCCATTGGTCTGCCCGCAGCCGCGGCGCTCCACAGTCGCTCGCTGTGCGCTCCCCGCACGGACACCCTAGGCAGGAAGAATGGCGCTCTAAATCAGAGAAGGCCAATTCCTACTTAAGAAAATCACTGAGGTACCCGAGGTAATTAATGCCTTCGGAAGCCTTTCTTTGCACTAATTACTCCGTTGTAAATGACCATCATTAAGGCAATTGAAGAAAGCTTGAAGGGAAAATTTGATGTAGGAAGTGCAGTTAGTATTAATTAACCGTATGATCTCTTGGCAAATGCAAGAACATCAAAGGGTGTAGGTGTTTACTTAGCTACAAGATTTTATCAGCGGTGAAAGTCAATGTTTGTCCATATCGGTAGTTTTGGTGTAGAGACAAGGGTCCGCAAAACATTTTGGTTCGTGCCTCTGACGATGCTTTGGGGAGAGCTGCTAACCAAGCAGTGCGGAAGGGGAAAAGTAATGAAGGTCTGAAATGCCCCTGGAAAAGAGGAGCGGGAGGCGCAGTGGCAACTGCAAGTTCTGCGCTTGTTTGAGCGAGAACGACTGGAATTGGGGCAGGATTATCGGATTACAGGCGTTTCTCGCTTAGGGACATAAACCCTTTACATCGCAGCCTGCAAAAGATGCTGCTCTTGTCTGTCAAGAAGTCAGCAGTAGCGAATTTTGTTTTCTTTTAACATTTGGAGAATGGGGAATGATTCGGACCCTTTTGTGCAAACTCATAGTGTCTCACATCTTGGCGGAGATCATCCATTCCAAGCCCAGCTCGGGAGAGAGCAGGAGGTCCGGTCTCTTAGGGGCCAGACCCTAGAGTCTGACCTTGTCCACGCTGGCAGTTCCCCGGGGTGCTTAAGGTGTGACTAGGAAGGGAGCGAGGGTCCCACCCGTCCTGCGTGTGGTCTCATTTTCAGTGTTTGTGGGAGCGGCCCCTCGCTCCAGACGGGTGGCACAAAGACCGCCACTGGCCGTCCAGGGGACACGGGGGCCTCCGAGATTCGATGCGGAGCGGCCGGCTCCCGGTCTGCCCGGCTGCGAGGGCGCTTCCCAACTCCTAGGTTCCGCTGAGAAACCGTAGGATCAGGGACCGCCCCCCCATCCCTGGCCCCCGAACAGCCCCACTGCAGCACTCAGAGGGGTTCACTCCACCTGGGACCGAGCTCTCCCCCTCGGCTGCTCCCGAGGAGAGACCTCAGTAAAGTTGTGCAGAGCCACTCGCCTCGCCTCTCCAACCCTAGCCCCTGGGATAATGCTCCCTTAGCAGCTTCCTAGGCCACCTCCATTTTTGGTTGTTGTTTTGGTTTTGTTTGCATTTTCTTTTCACAGGTATGGTTCCAGAACAGGAGAGCAAAGTGCCGAAAGCAGGAAAACCAGATGCACAAAGGTGGGTTAGGGGTGCGGGCCTGCCAGGAGGGGTCGGCCGCGGATCCTGGGGCGCCTTCGTTGCTCACCCGGTCCTGTTTCTCCCCGCAGGTGTGATCCTGGGAACCGCCAGCCATTTAGACGCCTGCAGAGTAGCCCCTTATGTGAATATGGGAGCCCTGAGGATGCCTTTCCAACAGGTAGTTAGCTTCGGTTTTATTTTACTTTTCCCCAGCAAGCTCTGACCCTCTTTCGTTTGCACGGGAGTAAGCCGGACACGTTTACAAGTGCCATTTATAAAGAAGTTGGCACGTATTTAAAACAGGCTGTAAAACTTGGTGAAGGAGCCTCCGCCCGGCTTTCGGGAGCTCAGCGCCCCTCGGGACTGGGTAGGAGGCCGAGCGCGGGGGTCCCGCAGCCCCAGGAGGCGCCGCTGGTGCTCAGGGCCCCTCGGCTGCGGTGCGATGAGCTGGTACACGGCCCCAGGGCCGCCCGCACACCGAACTGGCCTCCCGGGGTGCATCGCCTTCCTGGGGCGGGAAGCGCCCGGGCAAGCCCGCCCGCACTCTGCGGGGATGGACCGGCTCGGTCTCGAGCCGTCCGGGGGGCTTCGGTCTCCGCCTAGAGCCAGATAGCGCTGCGGGAGAAGGGTCTTCCACCTGATGCGTGAAACCATCAGGGAGAAAAACTATGCGGACCCTTGCGCTGTCGTTCTCCTCTTCAGTCAGTCCCAGGAGGGCTGTTGAGATCTGCCCTTTTCCCGTGGACGAGGCCGCCCCGGAGTTGGGGAGGCTGCTCCCAGATGCTCTGCCAGTGGATGGTCAGCTGGAACAGGGGCGGGGGGGAGCGCAGGTACCGACTCCACTGCAGGGTCCAGGTCCATGTCCCAGTGAGGTGCAGCATCCCAGGGAAGGCCGCTGGGGAAAACCGGGCAGAGGGAGATGAAATTCCGTCCCGCCTCTAGCCCCTTGTAACTCTCCCTCTTTTTTTTTTTCTTTTTTTTTTTTTTTTTTGGTCAATTAATCGGGAAATTGATTTTTTCCCAGCCCAAAGGGACCCTCCACCACCTTCTCCGTCTCAGAGACACGTGGAGCTGACAGATTAATTGTATTGATTTTTAAAAGGCATATTTGGACGAAAATAATTAAATACATAAATAAACTCTCCCCCATTCCTCCTCGAACCTACCCGGAGCTGAAATCTCTCAGTCAACCCAATGTGTTTGTGTAGGTCGAGAAAGCTCCAAAGCAAACACCAGTCGGGTATAGAAGGGACCCATGGCCAAGGAGTTTTAGCAAGGTATAAATAAACATCCTTGGAAAAAAAAAAAAAAGCCTGAAAAAAAAAATTAGTTATTTAACACTTGTTGGCGCCCATGCGTTGGGCCGCATACTTACTATTTATTTATTTATTTATTCATTTATTTAAAGTCATGAGCAGGAGGGTTAAGCGTCTCTCTGGGCCCCTGGTTGAGTGCGGAGCGGAGGTTTATCGTCCTGTCTGCGGGGGGGCTCCGCTCACAAGTTGATCTTTTCAGTCGCCGGGCTCCCCAGAAGGGTCGGGACGGGGGAGGTGGGGTGGGATGGGGTGGGGGGGCTGCGTGCCCGTTTCCATGGCCTCGGGGCTCACGCCGTGTCTCTGTCGCCGCCGCCGCCCAGGTCCAGGCGCAGCTGCAGCTGGAGGGCGTGGCCCACGCGCACCCGCACCTGCACCCGCACCTGGCGGCCCACGCGCCCTACCTGATGTTCCCGCCGCCGCCCTTCGGGCTGCCCATCGCCTCCCTGGCGGAGTCCGCCTCCGCCGCCGCCGTGGTGGCCGCTGCCGCCAAGAGCAACAGCAAGAACTCCAGCATCGCCGACCTGAGGCTGAAGGCCCGGAAGCACGCCGAGGCCCTGGGGCTCTGACACGCTTCACCCGAGACCCTCCCCCCACACCCCGCCCCAGGTGCCCGCGGCGGGCGTGTGTGTGACCCGCACGGACCGCCGCTCGGCCCCCCCCGCTCCTCCTCATACTCCTCCTCCTCCCCGGCCGCAGGGCGAGCAGCGAGCGCTCCGGCCTCCCTGCCGCCTTCTCTTTCTTATTTTGTTTTTTTTTTGTTTGTTTCTTCCCCCTTCCCCGAGGTCTGCGAGCGCTCGGCGGCTGCGCCCTCCGGCCGCTTTCCTCGCCCGCTCGCCCCCAGGGACTCGGCGGCCACGGACGTGCCGCGTGGCGCGGTGGGGACGCTCCGCGGACACATCCACACACACACGCGCAGCAAACACGCACCCACGAGTCAGAGACTCCTCGGAGGACAAAGTAGGTGGGAGGAGAGAGAAAACAAAGTTTAAACAAATTGACAAAAAGCGAAAAGGAAAAAAAAAAAGAAAGGAAACGATCTCTAAATTATGTTAATCTGTGAACATTGGGGACACTTTGGATTTTTGACCCTGGCAAAAGTGATCGCTCCGGCATAACGTCATCTGCTGCTGTCAGTTTTGCTACCTTGTGCATGTGTCAAACTAAACACGTTTTGAAGATCAGAAATATATTAGAACGAAACTAAACAAAACAAATAATAATAATAATAAATAATAAATCCTTGGGGCTGGTCTCCATTAAAGATGACATTTCTTTGTTGCCAACAGTATTATTTCACTGCCATGAATCTCTTCCATCACTGAGGAGCTGCTGTTGTTGCCGACCCTTCAGAATGTTTGAATTTACATGTGGACTTCAGCTCTGAGGACAAGCCCACGGAGGTTTTTTATTCATTTTTTTCTTTTTTTTTTTTTTTACTTATTTTCTTCCTAAAAATAAAAAAAAAACGCAGCAATAACAAAAAAAAAGCGTGTCTGAAATGTCTGTGTCCTTTGAAAGGAGAAAAAGAGAGAGACTAGAAGTTATTAATTGTTAGTGATAACTTGAAAAATGGGAACAATAAGAAATGCACCTGTTTTGCCAGAATCACCTGAACTCAGAGATGCATTGAGCCATGGAAAGAGGTCAGATTTTCAGTATTTTTTTCCAAATGCCTGGATCTTTGAATCACAATCTTACTGTTTTAGAGGATGTAGAAAGAATGAATTATACAAAAAAGATGGACGTATCGTTTTAAGACATAATACTGATGCAGCATTAATTTTAGTGAAATGCAATTAGGTGCAGTAAAGTGCAATACTGTAAATATTATAGATTAAAAAAAATAGCCGTACTTATTCTGTTAATAACCGATTCTGCAAGAAGCGTAACTTAAATCCTTTATGGTCAGACTGGTGCATTGCAGCTCTTTGCCAAAATGACAGTCTGAATCTTCTATGAATGGATAAAGCTGCTTGTATCACATATGGGAAAAGGTAGATGCCATGACTTCTAGTCAAATTAATGTGCCATATTTTTGGGAAACAAGATGAAAAGACTGTGTGACATTTTCACAATAATTTTAATTAAAAAAACCCCCCAACAACAAAACCAAACAAACTAAAACAACCCATAGAAGTGTTTTGTAGAAGCGGACAAGTTCAATAGTTGGCCATTTTAATTTTTGCCTGTGATTTAGATGCCAAGTATTAAGCTAATGCTTAAGCAAAGTAACTACGATAAATCCAGCAAGACTGGGGAGCAGGGAAATCCTTTAAATTATATTACCAAAGTGTCTGAGTTTACTGACCCCACTTCCCAGTTTTACTTTTTATGTTATTGACTTCTAATTAGGTTTGGGGTTTTTTTAAATTTTTGTTTGAGAGAAGAAGGTACAAGTATTGGTTTTGTCTTCATCTAAAAAGCTGTTTTTTGCCTTTGTTACCAAGGTCTGCATTGATGGAAGGTTATCCTCTCAATAGTACCATTATTAGGCCTGCTTTTTATGTATTGTTTAGCAATCCATTTCTAGTTTTGGCTTTTGCTGATATTTATAAAATCCAAATATTATCATAGGACAAAAATTCATGGTTAGAATAATTTTAGAGACTTTTCTTCTTCTTAATTTGTTTTTTTTTTTTTTTGTTTCTCCCTCAAATTCCGATATTTTCTAGCAATCAGAGTTTCTACAATGTCAAAGTTGTGCCATTTCCCTTCTACTTACTACATGATAAGTAGTTATATTTTTGATTTGCTAGGCCTGATAAATGTTCCCTGCCTTTTTTACCTCTCTGTAAAAGCCTAGCACCTTTTTAAAGCAAGGCTAAAATATTAAGGTAGCATTACTTCTTGCTGAGAAATACAGACCAAATCTCAGGCAATTAAGAATTTTTTTTTGAAACAAAACATTACCTAGAAAATAAAATGTTATTCATGATGACATATAAATTTCTGGCTAAAATGAGAAATATTTGGAGTGGTTCCAGCACTTCTAAAATGCAGATCTGAAAAATAATAAACATAACTACAGAGATGGTTTAGGCTATAGTAAGTAACCTGTTGTACTGGGTACCCACAGCATTCAAGGAGAATTAGATTCACAGTGTTAAAGTATAGAGCTTTTGATTGAGTAAGGGCTGCTTGTTATCTGTACCTGTGATCTAATCATTACCATTTCAGATCCTCTTTTGAGACCTTAAAAGAAGCTTACCTGATTTTTTCCAGTCCTGTGCTGGACTTTCACAAAGGAGTGATTTTCAACCTTGAATAATTCCGCAAAATGAAGTGGTTGAAAGTGCAGGCTTGGGACCTGAATCTTCTCAGACATCTAAGTGAGGCTGAGAAGTGTTACCAATCTCACAGTCTTACAGGATGCACATACAGTATGCATCCACCTTGTATGGGAAGGAATAACTTTTCCACCTTTACTGTTTTACTAGGTACAAACACAGCAAAAAATGCTTGTAGATTTGTCTCAGAATTTTTGGTTCTTTCTTGTATTCAAAAAAGAGTGGAAACATGAATACAATTCCCTGCTAAGATGAAACAAGGCTGGTAGAGTAGCATACATCTTTCCAGAATGAAATATTCTTATAGTTTTTTCTGATTGCTTTCAATGGATGTCTCAAGGACATTCTTGCTCTTTACCACAGAAGGGAAGAAGGTGGCGAGATTTATCAGCTTAGCCTGTTTTGAAGGAGGTACCACAGATTGGCCTGGGGAGAGGGGCAGGGTGTTGCTGTGAATCTACCAAGGTGTTTCATGCTGCTCTTGCATTTCATTTAGCATGAAAGGAAATGAAAAGGTGCACTATGTAAGGGTTGTCACTGAAACCAGTTCTGCTTTGCTTATTTCTTGAATGGGCTGATTTCATCAGTGGTGGCATAAAAGCTTTGTTTTTGATGATGCACATAGGTGGTCTTCTCTTCTTGTCATCCTTACATCATTGGGAAGAAATGAGGCATCCTATCTTGGCTACTGTGTACTGGACTGTACTTTTCTCTAAGTGTAAGTCACTGTGGCTCCATTCACCATGTGGAACTCCAGTGATCATACAAGTTGAGATTCTGGACCAAAGCATCTACTCCGTCTCTGTTAATGTGGTGTCTCTTTTTTGTTTGTTAGTTTATTGTTTAATTATTTTTCTTAAGTAGGTTGGAGATTGAAGATAACATAGTAATGGTCCTGAGGTGCTTATTAAAGTTTAAAAGTATTGTAATCGTTTTAGATTCTCAGGCATGCCAAGCCTCATTTATTGTCTGCCATCGTCCAGCCTGATCCTTGTGTAATCTTTCATTTGAGAAGGGTGAGATTTCCAAGATCATCAGAACAGCAGCCACTGAGCAGAATTTCCTTGGAGGAGGCCCTCATTTAGTGTATGTGGATTGGTAAAGAACCTTTCTCAAAAGTTCTGTCTGGTGTTTGAAAAATAACTTGAATGAATGCCAAATGAAAAATGCTGTTTATAAACAAGTCTATAAAAAAGGCTTCATGCATTACGTGGGCCCCTTTATAATGGAAAAAATACATTCTGTTTTTTTTTTTTTTGAAACTGTCACATGAGCTTAAACACTTCATTTATTTGTATCAAAATAGCAAATTGACTCCATGGCTCATTTTTGTTGACTTGGAAACATGTGAAAAAAATTATACTGAAAGTTTTTTTGCTTAGTAGGGTCATATAGATGTAGTGACGTTTTGGTTAATATCATAATACTTAGCACTTATATAATGTTTATTTGCAAAGCACTGTATAAATGTCTATTATTTAATCCTCACCCATTATGAGCTAGGTAAGAATTATTATCCCCATTTTTTAAGAAATTAAAGCACATAAATCAAGGGCCAGGTTCCATCACCTATTGTCAGCACTGAGTATTATTACTTTTGTTTTTGTAATGTAGGAACATCCCCCAGATCACAATCTGACATGAACTTTGTGGTGGTAGACAACTTTCTATGTAACAGAGGCCCTGCTCCTAGAAATTTAAACTGAGACTTCAGGCAAGTCTCAAATGGCACATTTGAGACTTTGTTTTGGAGTGGCAGAATTTGCCCATGAGTTATTTCCACAGAACATGTAGTTACTGCCCAACGCTCTGACCCCATATGTCAGTGGGAATTTGGTTTATGGCTCAGTGGGGCTGAGTTGTGTCAGTGTTAAGGCTGCAACCAAATTTCTGAGTTCCCAACAGCATGCACAGATTGCTAGGAAACCCTGATTTCCAGCTTCCCCTACTATAAATTTTTCACACAGACCAAATGTACAGATGTCAATTCTTTGCATGCTTTATCTGCTATGTCTTTTAGTCCTATGTTTGCCTATAAAATAATAATAAGACATGATTTTGAATTGACATAACATTGACACATTGGGACTGTTGAGTCAAATAAAACAGAGATGTAGTCTGACGAAAGTCCAAGTCCCTAAGGTAAAGCCAGAATATGGATTCTTTTTTTTAAAATGGGTGACAAAAAAATACGCATGTTTCTGCTTGTTTAAATGTACTAGGCAAAATAATTTTTTTTATTATTAAAAAGATAATATTAGTTTTTGGAGACAGTATTGATTTGGCAGGATTTTTTTCCCCTTCAGTTTAAGGAAAACTTTCAAAGTATAGGAAGAATAGATTACACATATTTCTTATAAATGTGCTTATTTTTGTAATATCTAATATCTAATTATTCAGATGATGTCCTTGTAATTGCTAATTGTACTCAACTCTACCAAGTGCGCACAACCAATATGGTTGGAAATTTTTTGTGTTCCTGGTTAAAATGGATGGTTGAAATGCCCCGCTTCTCGTCTGGAAGCAACCTACTCACTCTCTTATGTCATTTCCTTTCCCCCATGTGATAGAATTTCCATGGCAAACGAGTTTCCAAACAGCTGTGAATAACATGGCAACAGCTTCTCATTTGGTCACTTGAAAGTCTCTACTGGTTGCAGCAAGATGTGGTAGGACTGAAGAAGGCCTGGTATTGCTTGGAAACTGAAAAAAATCTAAAAGAAATGTGGTATGCTACAGAATGTGATCTCCTCTTCTTAAGAGATTAATAGAGCCTTCTGCTTTATGACTCATGATTTTTGTAAAATGGCATCTTTTAAGTCACATCTTTAAAGGGTACAACATGGGTCCTGTCCAAAGTTGTGACCAATATTATATTGGTTATTTTTGCTAGTTGGCCTTTCTAGCCAGGTCAGTTGAAGGCCATAGGCTTTGGTGTTTGAGGCATTCTTCAAGAGGGATATGATACCAAATATCCCTCA